AAGACCAAGATGGCGTGGCGTTTAGTATGGTTGCGGTCTCTTATCATTGTATAGAAGTTGTTTGACCTTGTTTTCGCAAGTTGGTCATATTGGTAGAAAGGCCTAGAGGAATGCACCTGTGTGCATGATAATTTCCAAAATCGGAACGTGGACTTGTGACATTCCCAGACGTTTCCAAGGCATAATAGTCGGAATCGTCAGTGAGCCTTGCCATTAATAGCACCATACTCCAACTCGTCAGAGCAGAGAGATATCACAACTGTCTAGCAGACAAATGATCAAAGGATAGACTTCGCTTGTTTCTTTGGTGAGTTGTAGTGTGGTGCTAAGAATGATAAGGTTGACTGACGATGCCGGCAAAATGTCTGGGAATGTACCGAGTCTACGGTCGGGCTGTGTAAATTATCATGTATACTATGGACTTCGAAAGATGCGTTCATTTAGGTCTTCCCGTCAATATGACCAAATTGAGAAAAAAAGGTCATGCAACTTCCTTATTGTTATATAATTAAGATTAAGTAATGAGTGGCTTATATATTCTCCATTTTAGTTCAATTAGCAAATTAATACGGCCTTTGAAATGTAATATAAGGTTATGCTGATTTTTTTTGAACATCTGAAAAAAAACAATATAACATTAGACAAAAACAGGTCTAGGATATGAGTCCCAATATATCCTAAGCATTGTAATAATTGAAAATCCTATTTTCGATGGTTGCTTTATTTTTCTGCCTATTTCTATATATATATATATATTTGGAGGACCAAGAGATGAAACAGTGTCTCTGGCGTTAGCTTCAAATTGAGACCAATTTTAGATAGGATCTTGAAATAGGGACCAATAACAAAATAGATATGAAGAGAAAGATGGTGTGGCCGTTCGTTTGATTATAGTCTCCTTTAGCTGTATAGTATCGGTTTGACCTCGTTTTGATAACTTGGTCGAGGCAACAGGGAGATCTTGTTGAATGACCCGCATGTACCAAGCCAACGGTCGATGTTAGAAATCATCAAAACTATAGCAGAGGACGCAGAACTAGGTACGTTCCACAAGGTCTCTCTGTTGCTCCGACCAAGTTGCGAAAATGAGGTTAAGCTAACACTGATAATAAAATAGTTTTAGGCGAGTGTGCTATCTTTAGTAGCATAATATGATGTTCTGTTTGCAAATAAATAGCACACAATGGGGTATCCTTTATGTAATAGACTCTTACTAATAGCTAACTACAACAAGGAAATTAAAAAGAAATTGCATTATCTTAATAAGAAACAGAGCATCTGACAGACAGAGCCAAGTAGCGCTGTCGTCTCAATTATAGTAAATAAAGTTCTTTAAAATTGCTAGAATATTTGTAATATTATGCCACTGGGTGGTTTAATGAAATAAGGCCTGTTGCATCATAAGAGCGAGTAAACACGGCCATAACTTCAATTACTTTAGGCAAGTACTATGAAAGGCATTTAAGTATAAAAATGATACTACCTACCGGAAATAATGCTGAAAGCGCCCATGCCAACTAGACCCGAAGCTGGAGTTGAGAATAAATACGAGAGGAGATACATCTGTGGAATAGAGGCCCAGCCAAAAAGGAGGAATGTAATAAAGATCATTAAAAGACGTTCGGTGCCGAACATGAAGACTTCGACGTTGTACTGCACGATTATGGCCAGAATAAGACCTGATATGATCACGAACATGCAGATGTCCCAGATATAGGTTGAAAGCCAGTACATACCTGAGTTAGAGAAGAAAGGCATTTATGAATGATAGAATAAGGTCTTTCCTATTGTAATATCGTCAGTAATTTCAATCCAATGATTGGTATCATTCCAACGTATTCGTTCTTGTAATCTCATATATTCGCCTATCCAATTTTTATGTTAGGCTAATGGTTTTTCAAGCAAACGGCTAGAACTTTGCGTTTGAAAGTAGGTTTTCGAGACTACCAGTGAATCATATAGATATAAGATATGTTCAAACTATTTCGTTTTATGGTGATGAAGGACTGGTAGTCAAATTTCCCAAAATGCTATGAGTGGACCCTGTGTTTCCATTGAATCAGACCCATTTTCATAAAAAATATCCTTATTCAAAGTAAACTGCAGTTTCAACGAAAAATAAGTAGTACCGCCTATTGCTGTAGCAAATATAAATTTGCTTCATCGATAATCTCACCACAGAATGTGATATGGGAAAATGCCTGGCCTTCCTTGAAATTCATATCTGCCCTGTGATACAAGAGAACTCGTGGCATTGTGGCGTAGTGGTTAACGTGTCGAGATTATATGCTGCACTGCCATGATGCGAGTGTCACTGGGGGTGCTGATGAGACCTAGGCGGGATCGAAGCTGCAGCCCACCTTGGATAAGAATATCTTTCGGGAAGCAGGCTACGTGGATTTCAATGGATGCGTAAGGTCTACTCACTGTGCGAAAATTCAAATTATTGTCCTTCATCACATTTATAATGGAATAGGGCGAATGCATAACATATAAACGGCTATAATGACCGAATACATCCAACAATCTAGGCTTGTTTAGAAATTAAGCAATAATAATATTGAATTTAAAAACTAGTATGACTCGTTTAGGGATAACATGGTAGCTATATAGTGTCTAGTATTCTAAAAGATATCGTTGAAAATGTTTAGAAACCAATATAGGTATAATCTTAAATCGACAGAGAAGGATGAACTACATAAAACACTAGTTCATCACTTGCCTACCTAGAGAAATAGACAAGAAAAAAGACTTCGCCTGCTTTCAATGAAAGAGTGGTCAGCATACTAAAGTTGCTTGACTACAAATAGCAGTATATTTTCAATTCACTTACTGAGATGCACACCAGAGACAAATTGTAAATGCTTTGCTTTGCAGGCTCTTTCATGAACGAGCCAAAGAGAGATACTGGCCGACAAGAAAGATACAGCAATTAGGAGGTTGGCGGAGAGAGGAAATGCGGCACCAATAACATTCTGTAGACCCTGGATGCTGGACATACTCTGAGCGCGTTCTATATCAGTTTCTGGAAGAGGTTGATTGGCGGCAAGAATTCGGGGTCCAGTAAAGGGTTCCAGAAGGCATGTGTTTAGGGCTTGCTAACGAACAAATATTGTGAGAATGATTAAAGTAAGAATGCTTACTGCGAGAAAGCATCATTCAAAAAAAGAAGAGTAGGTCTTAATATTCGAGAGGCCTAGAGGTTCGAAAATGTGGGAAATAAAAGCAAATTATTCGAAAAAAAACTAAGCTCAAGCGCTTCATTATATCAGCTTATCGTATTTAAGCAAAGCCAGATCTATTTCTTTCATCCGGTATAGCTTGACCTGAATGCTTATTCAACACGGGGAACTGGTACCAAATTTACTATTTCATTCAGCATGCCTTTTCTATCAAATTTA